GTTGCCGCCATGTGATTGGCTGATTAGAAATTAAGTGTTAACGAGCAGTTGGACAGGTGTACCTAATAAAGTGGCCGGTGAGTGTATATTGCGGTAGAAAATTGTCATAAAAAGTAAAGAAAATGTAATTTTTAGAGCATTTTTTTCAGAAAAATGTAATCTTAATCAAACCCAACATTTTTGCTTTAATATCTGCCTGCCAAACAATGAGCTTCCACCTGCTGAACTTATCAGATGCTGCTCTGCTGCACGCTCCTCTTCATCATCTTCATCTTCAGAGCAGAAGCCGACTTTACATTAGCAAGATGGATTTATGACTGAATGAACGTCCACGTCTTTTTTTATAATCATCTCTGTGAGTAACAATACAAAAAAAATTGTTTTTTTCTCCGACATTTGTGCGTGAAAAACTACAGTTGTTAAAGCTTCGCTCTGCGTGACGAGCAGCAGGAGGGAGGAGGAAATGATCTCGTGACACAATGTAAATTTTCTACAACAGGAGGAGGACATTTTGAGGATTTATTCTCTCTATTCGTGTTTTAAAACACTAGAATTTCTTCATTATATTTTGAACTCCTGCTCAGGTGTCTCTGCACTCACAGCCATGCTGACACAGGTGTGATGATGTAATGACGGTAGAGGGTAAATTTCTACCGTAGGTCAACTTCATACCGTTTCTACTGTCTACCGCATATACTGCACAGCCCTACTAAAAAGCCTTTAGAGAAATGTAGTGGAGTAAAAAGTATGAATTTATTGTTAAAATGTGGTGAAGTAAAAGTAAAAAGTGAAAAAAAAATTCCACTCAAGTAGAAATTCTCAAAATGTTACTTAAGTACAGTACTCAGGTAAATTCACTTTATTAATGCCCACCTCTGCGTAACATGTGCCATCTTATAGCTTTACTAGAACATCTGGGTCATAAACAAAACATTTAACTCAACATTACCTTTCTTCGTTTATCAAACACAAACCAGCCTTCTCTCAAAAAAGACAGTATTATATTGATGCAGACTGCTCTCTGATAACTCACTTATCACTTTTATGTCATTCACAGACCTGGTTAAAAGCAACACACCGTGCCCGTTTAGCACCCCCTCCCCTGTCTACACCCCCCCTTCACCGCAGAACAACACACACAGACAGAGGCGCTCCGTCAGCTCCGAGCGCTTTGTGGAGACACTCGTGGTCGCAGATAAAATGATGGTTGGCTACCATGGTCGCAAAGATATTGAGCACTACATCTTGTCTGTGATGAACATTGTAAGTTTAGCCCTACTTTTTGGTTATGTTGCTGATGTCACTGATTACCATGGGGTGCCGTTTGTAAAGTTACACAGTCAAAAATTACCACCAATATTTTTGTTTTATTTAGGTTTTTATAAGAAAAAAGAACAGATTTATTTTTCAGTCAGTTTTTC